GTTCGGCCTCTGAGGGAAGTGGGAGAGAAGGGAGAAAGGGGTAGGTGAGAAACAGAGAGGTTGTCTGATCCCAGCCATTTGCCCCTTCTCCCCCTTTATCCATGGAGAAGACACTGTGCAGAGAACAGCAGGCAGGGTCGCCAGGTAAACACGGTTGCTCAGTTACTTTCAAATCTCAGATAAACAATGAACAATTTTTTAGGGTAAGAATGTCCCAAATATTGCATGGATGTCCTGTAAAACGTGGCAACCCTGGCCCCAGGGCTATGAGAGTAGGGTATTCAGCTGATGTAACTATGAGAAGTTCCAGTGTCCATGACCATAGCCCAGTCTCACTCTGCACACCTGCTCTCCCTCTGCTCAACCCATGGGCGTCCCACTAGGGGCTCTGGGAGGATGTAAGTTATCGGAGCTGGTAGGCAAATCACACAGCCTCACTGAGCCTTATCTGCAAAACGGAGGCTCCCAGCCTGTCCCAGTTCTTCCCCGGCATGCTGCAGGGGGTGGACAAGTCTGTCCCTTGCCAGCTACATGCTGGGGGGCCTATGGCAAGGGCTGGCATTGGGGCTGGCAAGACTGGGCCCCCATCCACCCTAGGAAGGTTGAGTTTCCTTTAGTCCTCTTGAAGACATAGTAACTATAACTCAAAACTTTTGTTTGTCTCATTTTCCTTGAAACCTTGGCTTTGGGCTAGGAAAGGACAGAGGGTCAGCTGGCATGGCCTTGGCAGAAGAGCACAGAATATCTACCAAAGTTAAAAATAAGTGTATGTTGTGGCCTGTAATCCCAGCACTTTGGGAAGCCAAGGCGGGCGGATCATCTGAGGTCAGGAGTTTGAGACCAGCCTGACCAACATGGCAAAAACCCATCTCTACCAAAAATACAAAAAAAATAGCTCGGCATGGTGGTAAACGCCTATAATCCCAGCTACTCAGGAGGCTAAGGCAGGAGAATCGCTTGAACCCGGGAGGCAGAGGTTGCAGTGAGCCAAGATCCTGCCACTGCACTCCAGCCTGGGCAACAGAGCAGGACTCCATCTCAAAATAATAATAATAAATAAGTGCCTGTTGTATTTAAAATGGAAGCACTATATGAAGACTTAGTAAATCCATCAACCCATAACTACCCCTTTGACGTAGCAATCCCACACCCAAGCATCCAAACCAGGGAAGAACAAGGATGTTTCCATTAATCCCCCCAAATCAGAAGCAACCTGAAATCAATCAAAAGAGGATGACATGGATGGACTGTGATGTAGTCAAAAGAAGACATAGAAGTCATGAGAATGAGAGAGAAAGATATTGCCTAACCTGCAAGGATTCCCAAGATATGTTATTATTATTAATCATTATTATTATTAGAGAAAAGCAAGCTGAGAACATTCCAGACCAAGATTCCTCAACCTTGGCACTACTGACATTTTGGGCTGGATCATTCTTCGTGGTGGGCGCTGTCTGGGGCAAGGTAGTCTGTTTAGCAGCGCTCCTGGCCTCTACACACCAGATGCCAGGAGCACCTCCCTCCCCAGTCGTGATGATCAAAAATGTCTTCAGATGGTGTCAAATGTCTCCTGGGGAGTAAAATTCCCTCCCCACCCCGCTTTCCCACCCCTCACAGTGAGAACTGGTCTAGACAGCACTGTCAGGAATGTTTACATGAACCAAAGTAAACACCTAACTAGAACTTCCGTAGGAACTTAGGTAAATGTATGAATGCATAGAAGAAAGTCTGGAAGGAGTATTCGGACTGGGAGCTGGGGTTGTCTCTGAGAAGGGGAGTGGGAATGTGGCTGGGGGGAAGAGAGGGATCAGGGGAGACCTTTGCTTTTGTCGTATGATCTGCATGTTTGACTATGAGAATGCATGCATCTGTTCAGTACTGTTTTGTTCTTTGTTTGTTTGTTTGCTTTGAGAAGGAATCTCGCTCTGTCGCTCAGTCTGGAGTGCAGTGGAGCCATCTCGGTTCACTACAGCCGCCACCTCCTGGGCTCATGCAGTTCTCCTGCCTCAGCCTCCCAAGTAGCTGAGACTACAGGTGCCCACCACCATGCCCAACTAATTTTTGTATTTCTAGTAGAGATGAGGTTTCACCATGTTGACCAGGCTGGTCTCAAACTCCTGATCTCAGGTGACCCACTGGCCTCAGCCTCCCAAAGTGCTGGGATTACAGGCCTGTGCCACTGCACCCAGACATCTGTTCAGTACTTTCGCTGTAAGAGAGAAAGGAGGAGAGGGGAGGGGAGGGGAGGGGAGGGGAGGGGAGGGAAGGGAAGGGAAGGGAAGGGAAGGGAAGGGAAGGGAAGGGAAGGGGAAGGGGAAGGGAAGGAAGGGAAGGGAAAGGGAAGGAAGGGAATCAATGGGAAAGGGTCAAGAAAGAGAAGGAGAGAAAGAAGGAAGAGAGGGGAAGGGAAGGGAAGGGAAGGGAAGGGAAGGGAAGGGAAGGGAAGGGAATCAATGGGAAAGGAGGGTCAAGAAAGAGAAGGAGAGAAAGAAGGAAGGGAGGGAGGAAGGAAGGAAGGAAGGAAGGAAGGAAGGAAGGAAGGAAGGAAGGAAGGAGGGAGGGAAGGGAAGGGGAAGGGAATCAATGGGAAAGCAGGGTCAAGAAGAAGGAGAGAAAGAAGGAAGGAAGGAAGGAAGGAAGGAAGGAAGGAAGGAAGGAAGGAAGGAAGGAAGGAAGGAAGGAAGGAAGGAAGGAAGGAAGGAAAGAAGGGAGGGAGGGAGGGAGGGAGGGAAGGAGGGAGGGAATGAGTGGTAGAAGCCAGGTCTGCAGTTGGGGAACCGTGGGACCTGCTGGCTTTTCCTCTCTGGTCCTCAGTGTCCTGAAAGAGAAAGGCACACAAAAACAGGTCTTTAAAGACCCCTCCTGCCCTGTCCTCTGTTGAGGAGAGCCCCAAGGTGACCTGGCCCCCTCCCTCCCGGCTGTCCCTCCCACACAGCCCAGTCGTTGCACAAAGAAAAGTGCTTGGGGCTTCTCCTCCCTCTCAGCGTCTCTGATTACGCCTCCTTGTGGGAGGAGGGGAGGTTGGGGCCTGGTCAGCCGCCCAGCTCCACACCGAGGACTTGAGGACTCGCTGGGGCTTGATTAAATAATTACACAGAACCTACTGAGTAATCATGCCCGTCTCAAGAAGCAAGGAGCACCTTCGGAGGGAGGCCCCATTAGTGATTTGGGGGCGTGTGAGTGTGTCTGTCTCCTGCCTATGATAAAATTATCATCAGAAGTCCTCATTTACAAAATGCATCCCTTTCCCCTATCTCCTTCGATCACCTCCCAAACCCAGAGATGTGTATAATGTAATCCCCATTCCACGGTAGAAGACAGGGACTCATGAGCTTTGGGGCTAGTTCAAGTTCCCAGCACTAGGGACTGGTGGCAAAGGCGGTCAAATACCGGAAAGTACACACAGAGTGGGATAAGGCTCAGGACTGAAAGATTTTAGAAGACGTTTTATTTGTTTTTTATTGTTTTGTTTTTGTTTTCTTGCTAGAATTATTTCTCTCCTTTCAGTTTTTGAAAACAAATCTAAAATCGGCCATGGGAGCCTCCCTAGATCTTGCTGCCAAGAAAAGAGTCAAGCATGGAGGGTAAGGGCTGGTACCCACTGCAGCGGCCCTCATTTCCGATTTACCCAGGCCAAGGGGGACTGCCGGGTGGAGAGGGGGAGCCCAGGCCATCCTGGAGCTCTGCTCTCAGGCCTGGGGGCTGGGATCTTCTGCAAGCCTCCCGCCCCCCAGCTCCAGGATAAGGACAACCCTTCCAGTCAAGCGCCTGCTTTAATTGGGAAGGAAAATAAACGGCTAACAAGAGGCTACACCAGGGCTCTCTGTGGCCCACAGGGCATGGTCCTGAGATGCCCGCTGACTGCATGGCTTGGCTGGCTACCCACACCGGGCCCTATTGGCTCATTTACACTGGAGCAGTCCAAATTCATTAATAATGATTTGTCTCTCTTCAAGAAGAGGCTCGCAATCAAAAGGCCATTAAAATTAAGTGATGGTGGAGTAGGGGGCAGGGAAAGGGGAGGCGGAAGAAGATGGGGGGAGGGGAGGGGCCAGGTAGAGCTGAATGTGAATCTCCACCGGACGTGGATACTTCCTTGTTGCAGGACCTCGGATGGGTCACGGCTCGTCCTGGTTTCCTCTTCTCTGAAACAGAAGGGCAGGTGTGGCTACAGTGTCAGTGACACTGTGTATGGAAACACCCAGCAGGAAGAAGCGGGAAGGGACCCTGCTATGAGGCTTCCAGCATTGGGATGCATGGGGAGGGTGATGGACGCTGAGCAGGGATAATGCCAGCCTGCTAGGCCAGATCCCAGGGCAGCTACTCCTCACTGCCCAGCTGTCGTAACTCCAGCCCCTGAGTAACCAGCCATTGCCATCTCAACTGGGTTCAACACCCGAGGGCAGGGCCACAGCTCAGCCCTGCTCTAATCTCTGGGCAGGAGCAACAGAAGCATCAGAACACCCAGGACAGCCCTAGACCTTGGAAGAGGCTGGACCAGACAGGGCTCCCCAGCCCTCAGCAGCCTCTCGGCCCTCAGCCTTCCCCATGTCATCTGGAGCATGGCGTCTCAGGAGGCCTCAGGTGCAAAGAGGCGACCCCAGTGTCCCACACCCACCAACTGACCCTCCTACTGCCCTGGGTGTTAAGAGGGCAACATGCAGCCCTCTTTTGGGCACCCAGACAGCTAACATGGAGTCCTATGCACTGGTGGCTGAGAAATGCACCCCTGCCCCCGCCCTGCCTTTCTCAAGAAATAAAATGCAAACAAGAACAAAGGAAGAAAGCAAAAGGAAAACAATGGAATACTGCAGCCCATCCCACAAGGTCCAGGCCTTCCTTGGGAGAAGGGGAGGTGCCAAGAACTCCAGATGTGCTGATCCCTGGGTTTACACAGCCATCTGATTCCTCTTGAGGACAGGAAATGAAATTTTACAAAGGTGCCCATTATATGCCAAGTGCCTGTTACTTCATAGAACAACCACAAGGACACCACAAGGTTGGTATTAGTCATTCCTGTTTTTAGGGGAAAACTCAGAAAGATTAAGACGCTTTGCCCAAAATCATGAGTCTCAGACCTTCACAGTGCCAAAGCCAAGATTCAAGCCCAGGAACATCCTATCCTGACTGGCTTCTTCCTCCACACTTACACATGGTCACCGGGCACCGACTCTGGGTCCAGTTCTGGCGTGGGCTGGAGGGAGCCTATCCATGCTGATGCCAATCACAATCATGGTCACCACTTCCCATGCTCCCCCCGATGCCAGGCTGCAGCTCCGAAGGTTGAAGTCATTCCATCCTCCCCAAAACTCAGCGAGGCCAGGATGCTCATTCCCATTTCACAGTGAAGACGCTGAGGCACAGCGACGTCAAAGGACCTGTCCAAGGTCACAGGATAAAGTTAGGGCAGAGCCAGGTCTCCACCTGATGGGCTGAAAACCCCACAAGGGCCGGGGCAGTGCCCAGCTTTGCTCCCCACTGAGCCCCACGGAGCGACAGCTTAGCAAGTGTGTGCTGGATGGGGAGACTGGTAGAGGCAGGGAAGGAAGGACGGACGGGTCAGCACAGCAGTGGAAGAGGATGGCTAAGAGGTGACACTTAGAGCCAAACTGCCAGGGTTCAAACCTCAGCTTTGCCACTTTTTACCTGCAAGTTTCTTAATCTGTCTCTACATCAATTCTCTTATCTGAAAAATACAGAGAATAATAGTTCTTACTAGCTAGGGTTCTTAAGAGAAACAAGCGAGTTCATATGGAGCCTGGGACATGGTGGGTGCCCTATACTATTGTGGACGAGTGGAGGACAGGCAGGTCTAAAGCCATGGACTGGCCGCAGCCCAGCCCCAAGGTGTCCTCATGAAGCCTCCAGTGAGGTCAGTCCCACCCTTGCACACTGAGAGTGAGCGCCTCCTGAGCAGCTTGCTGGCCTCACCTAAACCCTTTCCAACCCTGGTCAGCCCATGACTTTCCATCTGGGCTTCCCTTTTCCGCCAGGGTCCAGTTGCCCCAACCCAGAGGATAGAGACGCTCAGACCAGCCCTGAAGGCGTCTCCAGCCTGTGAACAGTAAGCGCCCCATCTCTGAGAGGTTAAAGCAGAGTGGGACGGCCACTTGGGGACCTGCAGACGGGCTTCTGTCTGGGTAGCAGACTGGAAGCCACTTTGAAGCTTTGTGCCAGCGATGGGCTGAGCATCACCGGTGAGAATGGCCACAGCGCCACCTGGTGTAAATATGAGAAATGACCTAACAGGCCCCAGAGGCTGAAACACAAGCAGCATCCTGGCTGCATAGGACAGGCCCCGGCCCAGGTGCTTCTCACAACGGGGGCACTTGTATATTCAACAAATAAATAAGGCCCCAATACCAAGCACTTTGGTGGGTTGTTTTCACACGCTATACTATTTAATTCTAACAACACTCTAAGGAAGGCATCCTTACCCTTTTTACAAATAAAGACATTGAGCTCGGAGATGCAACGTTTATTTGACCCAGGTCACACAGCTAGCAGTGGCAGAGCCAGGATTTGAGCTCCCGAATTCTGACTCCACAGCCTGCCCTCCTAATCGCTAAGCCTTGGGGGATTCCATGAGAAAGAAAACCAGCACCCCTCCCGTCTCACCCCTTCGTTTCATGGAGCTTATACCTAGTCAGGGGAACAGAAAGAAATCAGAAATTCATTGAGTAGGTACCATGTGTCAGGCACTGAGCTAAGTTCTAGCAATACCATGGTGAAGAGGGTGATCAGGCTCCCTGCTCGAATGAATGCTATAAGGAAGAAATAATCGCACAAATATGCTACTATAACAGAGACGTAAAGGAAAGGTTTGGGTTCTGAGACCCACTGTCCAGGCACCTACTGCCCTGAAGCAGTGACATACTGAGCTGAGAGCTGAAAGGTGACCAGGCCTTACCCAGGCAAAGACGCACTTATTCATTCTTTGACAAATGAAAGCACTGTGTATTCCCCATAGTGTTTTCCTCTTTTGTTACAATATATAAATCCATAAATAATAGACTGTATATATGCTGTTGCAACTTACTTTCTAATCCTACATAGTTTTTTGGTTCTTTCCATGGCAATACACAGAGATCATTTGTTTTAACTAAAGAGGCTGTCACACACTGACATCTGCCTTATGCACCACGATGTATTTATCTGTGCTCCTGCTGATGACACTTGAATTGTTTCCAAATTTTAACTCCTACAAACTGCTACAGCCACATCCTCCAAGTCCATAGTCTCTCAAAGTGCATGCATATGAGTTCTCCTGTGTTCCCATGTTCCCTCTAATACTTGTCAACATCGTTTTGCTGGAGAAGAGAAGAAAAAAAAATTTTTTTTTTTTTTTTTTTTTTTTTTTTTTTGAGATGGAGTCTTGCTCTGTCACTGAGGCTGGAGCGCAGGGGCGTGATCTTGGTTCACTGCAGCCTCCACCTCCCGGGTTCCGGTGATTCTCCTGCCTCAGCCTCCTGAGTAGCTGGGATTACAGGCACGTGCCACCACACCTAGCTAATTTTTGTATTTTTGGTAGAGACGGGATTTCACCCTGTTGGCCAGGCTGGTCTCAAACTCCTGACCTCAGGTGATCCGCCCACCTCAGCCTCCCAAAGTGCTAGAATTACAGGCATGAGCCACCACGCCCGGCCAAAAATAATTTTCTATTACTCATAAGTTTATACAAAAATAAATTCATTCACTAGTTCATTTACTCCAGCTGAAGCCAAGTTAAGGATCTAAAACACATTTGCCAAAATGCTTCCCACTTTTCTGTAGGCCTTATTCCTTCTTCGGTTTTCTTTTATAATTTTTCTAAGACACGACTTCTTAAGAGATACATGTAAAGGATTCTAAATTGCATTTCTTTAAAAAATCACCTGTTTCATAAACATTTTGCATTCCTGATTTCAGGATTTGAGCTGACTACTCCATGGCCTACAGGCTGACTCGTCTCAGGGTTGGTGGCACCTCCGTAGTTACACCATATAACTTGTAGACACATACTCCTTACAGATAGGTGAGGCCTGGGAGGAATGGCTTACATTTTTTTTTTCAACTTTTATTTTAAGTTCAGGGGTACATATGCAGGATGTGCAGGTTTGTTGCCATGGTGGTTTGTTGCACAGATCATCCCATTACCTAGGATTAAGCCCAGTATCCATTGGCTATTCCTCCTGATGCTCTCCCTCCCCTGGCCCCATCCCATAGGCCCCACTGTGTGTTGTTCCCCACCCCCAGATGTCCATATGTTGTCATCATTCAGCTTCCACTTATAAGTGAGAACATGCGGTGTTTGGTTTTCTGTTCCTGGGTTAGTTTGCTGAGGATAATGGCCTCCGGCTCCATCCATGTCCCTGCAAAGGACATGATCTTGTTCCTTTTTATGGCTGCATAGTATTCCAGGGTATATATGTACTACACGTCTTTGCTATTGTGAAGAGTTCCACAATGAACATACATGTGCATGTGTCTTCATAATAGAATGATTTCTATTCCTTTGGGTATATACCTAGTAATAGGATTGCTGGGCTAAATGGTATTTCTGCCTCTAGGTCTTTGAGGAGTTGCCACACTGTCTTCCACAATGGTTGAACTAATTTACATTCCCACTAACCATGCAAAAGCGTTCCTTTTTCTCTGCAACCTCGTCAGCATCTGTTGTTTTTTTACTTTTTAATAATAGCCAGAATGACTTACATTGATATCCAAGGGTGGACCAGCTCCCATGTTTCCCAGCCTGTGAGGAATCTCCTGTGAAAATCTGAGCTAGCCAGCACCATATTTCCCATCGATGTCCATCACGTGTTATGGCCCCTGACCCAGGCTGCAGGTGCCCGAGTAAACTCAAGTTTCCTAGGGTGTCAGTTCTAAAGGAGACATCGTCAACACTGACCTTGAGGTCTGTGAAGCCCATGGTGGTCTCTTTGGAGGAGGGTGAGGGTTAGGGCAGGGTGGCTGCCCAGTTCCCAATAACAGCCCTTTTTCTGGAATTGCCCTTGATTCTCAGAACTATGGTGAACCTGGCCAGTGCTAGGAGAGTGAAAGGCAAAAGGGACTCTATGGCCAGAACTTGCCACCATCTCTACCAAATTTATTCTCTGGGCCCTCCCTATTGTTCACTTTGTCAGGAGCTGAGATGAGCTGAGCTAAACAGGGTGGAACAGAAAGTCGAGACCCCAAGAGAGGAGGCATCTGATCCAACAGCAGTTCCAAAATCTGCCACCAGGTGACAGCAGAGCTCCTGCTCTGTCTCTGATCTCTCACTGGCATGGAGTCCCCTGGGACTCTGACCTGCCTGCCCCCCAGGCTTGGCCTTGAGGTTCCTCAGTTTGTCTCAAGTCTGCGATTCATTGTTAGCCCTCCAGTCCCCATCAAAAAGTGCCTCTAGCAGGGTAAGATTCTGTGGTCTGTTGGGGCACAGGGACTGTCTTGTGCCTCCTGAGAGTCTGTTTCCAAAGGAGCCTGTTCATTTCACTGGAGGCCTAGGGCGGGGCTACCATGCAGCTCTGGAAAACCCAGGAGACAACACAGAGCAGCTCAGGCCAGTGTCCACCAAAGAGAGGATTCTAGAGCCCAATAAAGTGTCCCCGCTGCTGTCCCCTTATCTGTGGCCACAAGGCCTTGAACCCAGACTCAGCTTCACTCCCTACAGCCACAGGCCTGAGCCCAACCCAGCCTGGTAAACCATATTCTGGAATTGTTAAAGAAAAAGATGAAGGCCTGAGGGCTCGAGGTCTGGGGCCATGTGCCAAGCCCTGCCTTCTCCCCTGGCCATCATTCCAAACAGCCCTGACCTTACTGAACTCAAACAAGGACTCCACACCCCAACACCCGATGTACCAGCCCAGGAGTCTCCCTGTAAGGCCCCAGATTTCTGGATGAGCACAGACCCATCTGATGGCCCCTAGGAGGCTGTTTGTGGCCTGAGTTCTGGTTCTTGGCACCCTATCCACAATCAGGGCAGACCAGCCTACGCGGGAAAATGAGACCTGGAGAGGTTGGAGAGGCTGCCCAAAGCCTGGGGCCTGAAACCCGAGGTCTGGCAGGTTCCTGGCTCCACACTCTCTCAGCTCCCTGTGACAATCCCCTCATTGCACACATCACAGTTATAATTCCATGATGCTTATGCTTACATGGCCTTTTAATGTCCTGCCACCCTCGTGACCTGTAAGCCCCATGAAAGAAGGGACTATGTTCACTCCTGTAACCCTCTGCAATGAGTGCAATGCCTGGCACACAGTAGGTGCTCAGAAAATAACTAGAATAAGTAAAATAATAAGTGGACATCCTCCTAAAGGAGATCTTAAGACGTTTATAAAATGTTTTACAATTTACAAAGCACTTCCCACAATTTTCCCCTTTCGTTCTCCCCACCACCCTG